AAGCGACTCGGTGGTCATAGTGGTTGCCGCCCCCCGGGCCCTTTGGAGCGTCGGTTGCGAGGGGCAACGGCCCGCGCTGCGTCGATGGGAACGCCAGTTTCACCACACCACACGCCGCCGCCACTCACGGCGGGGTGCCGCCGCAGTCGAGCGTCGGCCATGGATGATGCCGGCACTCTGCATGTCAGCATGCCTGTATGGCGTGCATTTGCATTCCTAGTGGGCGTCATCTCGCCATCGCCTGCCAGGGCGTGCAGCTGCGACGACCATTGCCGCCCGCATGCCGAAACCGCCATGCCAATGCCGTCGACGCATGGCAAACCCTCCGCCAACACACACGCCCGCTGTTCGTCCCTCGCGCCCTGACACACCCTTACACACCTTGGCCGCTCGACCTGGCCGCCCGCTGGCCAAAACACGGTCCCTTTTATTTGCTTGTTGTCGGCCTGCACCGCCCGCACGCGGTGCCGTCAAAAAGCAGCAGCCATGCATCCTCGTTGCTCCGTCGACCTCTTACACAACACGGCCTAGCGTTACTCCAGGTGCCCGGAAACAAGACGCCTTCTCGTCGCTTCCGGCTAACGGCATTAGTCAGCCCCATAGTTTTTGGCCTTATTACCAGGCATACTGCACCAGAAACCTGATCACAGCCCCGCCAGCAGGGAAAGGCTTGCGTGCAACAGCGACAATACGAACCAAAGCTGAGGATGCCGTGCGATCCCGATGCTCCGCGGCGAAGGCACTGCGTTGCCAGGACATGTTGAGGATTCATGGCTGACGGAGCCACTTGGAGTAACATGTTTTGCTCTACGCTCGCTGACCATGCCTAGATGGTGCACATGTTGACAAGAAACTCCTCTCCAACAGAGACGCACATTTACACCTACTAACCAAGCGGGAAAGACCTACAGGCTACTCCCGGCACTGGAAAGTAGCCTTCCACCGCCCACCCGCCACATTCTCCACAGCAACGCTCTCTTGTCCTGCCAAAACGTCTTGAGCACACTCACAGCCCGATCCTTGTCCCCCGCTCATGGCGAGCCTGCCGTTGCAACTGAGCACCGGCACATGCACTGAACCCGTTGTCCCTTCAGGGGTCTCAAACTCTAGCACCACGCTACCATTGGCAACCTGCGTTCTGGCGCCAAAGAAGCCCAATGCTGTGCTGAACCCTGCATCGGCAACGGTCAAGTCTCCCAGCGAAGGAGCAATTCGCCAAGTAGCTCCGCCCGCTGTAAGTAGCTCGATGCCCGCCACATACTGCGTCAGCGACAACGTTGGGCCCGTTGCCCAGCCATGGGCGTGACTGATACGTGGGCTGTTTTTGTATGGCGCATAGATCAGCTCGCCCGTGGTGCTATAGCCCTCGATAAAGGTCGAGTTCGTCATGCGGGGGTCATCAAGCATGAAACCCCATTGCAAGCGCATGAGGGCCTGCGCTGCTGACGTATTGCCCGCGAGAAAGTGTGTTTGCAGTTCGAAGCCAGAGATAAAGGGCGAAACAGTGCTTCCGGCCTCGGGCGCAGGCGCACCGTACCGTGTCCATCGCCCGGCCAAACGGTTGCTAATCTGAGAGACTTGGGTTGCGTTGATAGTGAGGTTGGCCACGACAGCCCACGAGTTTCCGTCCTGCGGCATTAGCGTCGTCGTCTCATTGTCTCTGTACATGCCCTCGGCTTCGACCCAGAGCAGCTCATTGGCCGCTGTCTTGACGCGTTCAGCTGTCTCGCGCCAGCTGGGCACGTTGGCCGTGTCATTCAGCGCACCGGCAAGGTAGATGGCTTGGTTGATCGTATAGTACAGGATTGCATTGGCTTCGATGTTGTGTCCACCCATGCCAAAGCGGAGCCAATCGGCCCCCGAAGTGACGTTCATGAGACCGCTCGAATCAATGCTATTGATCGAAAAGCTCAGAGCGAGTTTGTACTGGTCCCACAGGGAACGAAGGTAAGACAAGTCGCCCTAGCAACCTACAGTTAGCCTACACACATGTCAACGCCACCGCTGAGAAAGCCTTACCGTATAAAGATAATGATCTGCAACACCAATCAGAGTGTACAGATGGTATGTAAACGAAAGGATGGTGAAGAACGGCCGGCCAGCATACGGCAGCACGCCAGTCGTCTTGTTTTGCACCGCGAACAGCGAGTTGAGCGCATTCTCAACCGATACGACGTCGTTGGTCGAAACAACAATCGCCGGCACGGCAATCGCCATATCTGTGGCCGTCAATCAGCTTTGTACAGTTCCGTCAACTCCATCAACATACCTCCGGCCCACACCAACCTATCTCTCTTGGCCCCATCAACGAGCGTACTGCTCCCCTTTGTAACCGTATAGTCGTAATACCACGTCGTCGGCGGCACATCATTCGGTCCGCCCGAAACGCTATTATTCAGGTCGAGGAGCTCTACCAGCGCATTCCCCGTGTCGGGCGAAGTCGTACACAACTGATTTGTATATGCGCCTGCGTACCAAATGCGATTCAGCAGCTCATCTACACAACGCCATGATTAGCCCGTATCCGCAACTCCTCCACCGTGTTGGCTCAAGCCGTAACACTGCCTGTACTTACCATCGCAGTGAAAGTACCCCGTATAATTGCGCAGCGCGTCGCCGCTCCAATGCGGCATGGCCGTGTACTCGACGCTCGCTTCCGCCACCTCGACGCTGCCCGTCCCGTTGTGCACGAGCGTCATGTATCTGAATCCGCCGCGCAGCTTCTCCCGCGGTGCCGTATATGTCCCTGCGCCCGTGACATGGAATCACAGCGTCTCGTCGAGGCCCGCATCGGCTGTCGCGTCGCTGCTCTTGTTGCTGATCCACAGCGAGCTTTCGGTGAAGGTGACGCCGACATATGTATCTGGCGACGACACGGAGCCAATGGCTAGACTCACGGGACCAGCAATGTTGATGCCGAAATCGTACGCTGTTGCCGCCGCGCCCGTGAATATCGAACTCCCACTACTACTACTACTACTACCACCACTGCCGTTCGCATGTGCGGTTGTCAGACTGGCCGGATCCGTCACAGAGCCATTGCTGCTGTGCACAGAGACCGGGTGCAGGACCCGCGATTTCGGAGCGAGAATATATTCTTCGTATGGGATAGCTGTTGCTGCTGCAGCATTAGAGAGCAGCAGTAAGGGTGCTGCTGGCACCCGCATTGTTGCGTATAACCACGACAATCACAACAACCAAAAAAACAGGGCAGACAGGCACCCAAACAAAAATCAATAAATATTAAACACGGAGATATAAATATGGCCCGCTCACTACCAAGAAATGTGTAATATCCACGCTTATACTACATAAATTGTCTCGGGAGACCACGTCGGTACATCTACTGACTCTACTTGTACATGCAAAACACATACTCTGATCTTTTTCCGCCCGCCTCTCCCGCCTCTCCCGCGTTCCCCACGCACCTTTTGTACTAGCACTAGTACCTCGGCCAAAAGTCCCGCTTCCCCCCCCCCTCTTCAAGCCCGCACAGAGCAATCCAATAAGAACATTTCTTTTCCTTATTTACCCCTCTCAGCATATCTAACTTCCGCTATCCTGACTCCCCTCCACACACACACACACACACACACCCACACCTAACTGATCCCAGTTGCTCGGTCAATTACACGCCGAAGAGCTGACGGATCATCAGGATGGTACTAGTACTAGTACTAGCACTGGCACTGGCACTGGCACTGGCATTGGCATTGGGGAGAGAAAGGAAGAGGGGGGAAACTCTTTCGCTGGAGTAGACATGTATGCATGCGTCATTACTGGGTGCGCGTCGGAAGCGCATGTGCTACGGAGGTGTAGACTTGCATATGTATGGGCTGTGGGCTGTAGGCTGTGGGCTGTGGGCTACGGATGCGGGCAGCGGGTGCGGATGTGGATACCCTGGTAAATGCGGGGAAAAGAAGATGGGCTACTAGCACTCAACACTGGTGGTGCTGGCTGCTGGGCTTTTTTTTTCGGCGATCGCGAGGGCGGGGGGGATACTCACAGGGACGGATGACGAGTCTGTACGTATGTGTGTGTGTGTGTGTGTTTGTGGGAGGAAGAAAAGGACTGGGTCGAAGGCTTTTCTTTGTTCATCTCTCTTTATCTGCGTATGTGTATGTGGTAATCTGCGCGCCGCGGAAGAAGGGCACCCAGGCGATGCGTGTGGGTCCGTGACGCGGGGGGGGGGGAAACAAAGATCAAGATCAAGATCGTGGAGAGGGAGACACTAACGCTGGCGATTTGGGCAGCTAAGTCGTTCTGGGCCCTACACGGCCAAGGTAAGGTAAGTATGGATTTTAAACTTTGCAAGCAGCTGGTGCCAATGCGGGAAAGTGGAAGTAAGTATCATGGGAGAGTATTCCACGTCCAATCGGAACACTCGTGTATTTCATTCTTCAGACTATTTCTTGCTTTGGGGCAACATGCCGAGGAGTCGCTCAATCTCCACTGCGGCGCTTCCACCGGCCTTGGCGCGGATCTCGTCGAGTAAGTCCCTGTCCTTTGCTTTGAAGGCCTCTTCGCCTGCCTTGACCAGCAGCCCGCACTTGGTCCACATTTCCACGCGCTCTGGTACTGACAGCGTCGTGCACTTTGGAATAAATACAGATGCAACTCTGGTGTTGCCGGCGCCGAGAATCTCGTTGAAGAACGGCTCCCAGCCAATGGGACTCTTCTTCTGCTTTGCAAACTCCTCAAGCTCAACCCAATGGCGTGCTGCCACCAGGGCGCGGAGACGGACATATGTAAATGTCTTGTCGTTGATCTTGAATTCTGACTGTACTTTTTGAGCGCGCTTGGTATGTCCGTGGCGGATGAGCTGGAACATTGTCTCGTTTGCCGAGAGACCAACGTACGTCTGGCCTGGCAATGCGCCAACAGCGGAGGCGTCTCTCGGCCCATTAAGGTCTGTTTCAAATTGTGTTTGAAGGCGAAGCAGTTTGGCTGCATCGTCTATGGCCTGGCGTTGGAAGGTGGCCGCATTGTCGCGAGAGTCTTGAAGGTACTTGGATGCTAGCTTCAATTTATCCTGCACGGCAGGCTGGTTGTCTTGCGAAAGGGCTTCAGACAATAGGAGGTTGGATCCATCCAGTCGCCGGTCGTCTTGATAGTACAGGTCCTTCAGTAAATCGCGATCTTGATCCCAAGCCGACGATTCCACAAGAGCGGTCGCGACTGGCCGGCTGTTGATGACCCGGAAGAACGAAGCGAGTGGCAGCTTCTTGCGCAACTGAAGGAGGACGTGATAGACGAGATCAGTGTCGCCTGACTCGATAGCCTTGTCAAGCGCAATATTGTCTTCTTTCATGTTGAGGAGCAGCGGCACTTGCTTGCCAGCTCTAGGTTCGTAATCGAGCAGTTCAGTCGCGAGACGAACACGGCCCTCGTCATACGCCGCGCGGGCAATCTCTTCGAAAGAGACGCCTGGTTTGCCGTGAAGCTTCTTGACAATCAAGCCGCATATCTCTTCCTCCGGGTCGGTAGACACACGAACTTTTTGCTGCGCCCAATGGCCATAGATATGATTCGCCGGTAGATGCAGGTACTCGGCTATCCGCAGCGCCAGAAGGTATTCGCTGCGGTTCGTCAGACGTTCAACGAGTTTCTCGGGTGTCATGCGACGGTATTGATCATAGCTGAGTGGCAGTCCAACTTCGTAGAAGCGCACAGCGTTCAGCACTCGCAATGTGTCGCATGTGTCAACAAAGTCGTCGGACGAGTACAGGTCCAACACCGACTTTCCGTACGAGGCGGCTTTCAACAGCGACTTTTGCCAATGAATGTTGTACTCGTGCGCAGCAGCCTTGATACAGGTATCCACGGCCTCGCCCAGGCTTGGCCGTATCAGCTGGATCAGGTCATCCGCTTTCGGGCTCTTCTGCTCCAGAAGAGAAGAGGCCTCGAGAAGGTTTGCAGCAGGCGAGTCAGACCCTAGCCTGAAGACATCGACCGCTTCGTCCGGCACTTTCTGGATGAACTCGCATACGTCATTCGTGAGGAGGCGGATGCCGTCGACGTCTGGCAGCAAATGGACCCAAGTGTCGTAGTAGAACTTTGTGGCAGCGCTCCTGGGGCCAATCAAATGTACCTCGTCCTCCCACGCCAGTGCGACGGCGTTTGAACCGCACCACTCCATGTCCTTGGGTACTGTCTTGATCTTGCTGTCGTACTCGCTGAGCTTTTCGCTCCAGTCACCGCTGACAACCCAGACCTTCCCGTCTTGCGTATAGAATGCTAGGAACTCTGCGCGCGGACTGACGCTGATGTGCATGAAGGGCCCCGCATCGAAATTCCGGTCTTCTGCTTCCGTCGCATCGACGACATAGAGCGTCGTGCCGATGGCAAGAATGACCTCGACTGAGCGTGACAGCGAATATGCAGGCGGCACGATGCTCCATGATATGACAGGGTCGGTCGGCGGGATGGCAAGGAGTTTCGGGCGCGGTTCCGTATACGACGTGACAGAGATGAGGTGGTTGTTTCCGAGCAGCGCGACAAAGCCGGTGCTATAGAATTTGCACGACACCACGCCGACATCTTCGGCATCGTGGCCAAGCGTAAAGGGCACGAAGTCGCCCTGCAGGCCGTAATAGCAGCGCACGGTGCCGTCTGCTGTGACGACGAGCAGCTTCTCGTCCTCTGACCAGCCCAGGCCTTTGATCGATCCCTTGTCCCACTGCAGCCTGTCAGCATATCCTGTTGCGGTCGCGCGCGTTCGTGTCGAGGTGCCGCACGTTGATGCTTCGGATCAGCTTGCCCGCGCAGCTGTAGATGTCGATGCTCGACTTGGACGCCCCAGGCCCACGATACGTCTGCAGCTTGTCTTCATCGCGATAGATGGCTAGTGCAGTCAGCCAAGCCCAGGCCCAACACAGCTATGCGCAGTCAATGGCAGGCAAGCGGGACATACCTACCTACAGCACCGCTGTACGGCGCCCCCACCACATGGTAGTTTTCAAGCTCGAGATCCTGGTCGAAGACGGCCTGGTAGAGCTGGATCTTCCTGTAGAACTTGTCGCCGACCTTTTCCCAGTTGGCTGTTGGCTTGGACATGTTTGGTCGCGCCTATCGGGGTATCATGGCGCAGGTTGTCGGAGGCTTGGTGCGGCCCAGGTTGGAGCTTGGGAGTCGCGGTCATAGCTCTCCGCACTCGCCGAGGCACAATACCACTCCAGGGAACTTTATCTGCGCACTTTGTCCACACGCGTGACAGTCTTCTTTGCTATCGTGATCAACTACATACTGCTATCTACTTTCGGGCCTGTGTCGCCCGCATCCAAGAAAACGCCGTCGCTCATGCATTCGTAACCAATTCCACGCCGTATCCTACCCAACTCCAAGAAAGTCATACCCCAGCCCGCAACAATCAGATGCCGTGTTCCATGATATCGTCAAGTTTCTCGTGTAGTCCAAATCGTTCAACATCGCTGCCGACCTTCTTGCGGAACATGCCCAGGTCCTTGAGGAAATTCTCCGCCTCGTGTTGCAGCTCCTGAGCCAATTCATCATGGTCGCCCTCATCGTAGCCAGAGTCAGAGTCATTGTCACTGACCTCACCATCACCGGCAACCGGCATGGATTCATCTTCATAGTCTTCGCCCATCCAGTCTTCGCTTTCAAAGTTTGGCGAGCCGAGCTCTCTGGGCGGCGGCAAGACAATGGGGTTCTTGAGTTCTCCGAGCGCGAGAGCAAGGTGGCGGCGCAGCGAGTCAATCTCTGCATGGAGGGTTGCGTTGAGCGGGCGAAGCTCCTCGACTTCCGAGGTGAGCGCCTTGATCTTTGCTGCCGACACTTGTCGGTTTTCTTCCATGAGACGTTGCATGAGGGCAACCTGCCTCTGGTACTCGTCCAGCTCGGTCGCCTCTTCCCTCTTGCGCTGGCTGGCAGCATTGACACACACCTGTAGACTTCGAATCTGTTCGGACATCTCGGCAATCTGGGCGTCTCGCTGTGCAGCCGACATGCAGTCCTGGTTGACCGAGGCACGGGTGCGGATGCGCTTGGCTTGGTCGGCATAGCGGAGAGTAGAAAGCGTCTCGTCATAGTCGGCGGGAGCCACACACGCCACCATGGCCGTCTTACTGTTTCCGCCGAGCGAGTCTTTGAGAAGCCATGTCAATACCGAATCGCGGTATGGAACTACCTCGCGAGGCCGTCGCCCCTTGGTGCCCTGCCGCCGGGGGTCTGCCAGGGCAGCGATCACACGACCCAGTGTTGTAAGGGATTTGTTGATCTGGGCTCCTTCCTTCAAGCGCGCGCCAGTGGCTTCTGTCGACTTTGCGCGTTCGGAACCCGCGAGATCGACAAGACGCATGCGTGCGGTACGCTCAATCGTCTCATCCGAGAGAAGCGAGTGGGTAATCTGCTTCAGACGGATCGTGAAGACAGCGTGGGAGCGAGACGAAGTGTCATTCATCTTGGTCGAGGCAGTCGTCCTGCTCTACATGATTGTTAGCATGTGGTCCAGAGACAAGGAAGCCAGTATACACACCATGTCGCCAATCTTCATCAGGCGCGCGACATCGGTATACGACTTGACCTCAGCCTCGGTCAAGCCCTGCACGTAGACGCCATCCTTCTGGCTCTCGCGGATCTTCAGGTACACGGGCGGGTTTGTCCTAGGCTGGAGCAAGTCTCGCACGTGCTCGTTGTAAACCTCAAAGTAGGAGACCTGGACGTGGTAGTTGGTGTTGGGCGAGGGCTCGTGTCTGATGCGGGCAAACAGCTCCTCGCAGGTTCGTGGGATCAGGCCCGGGTTCTCTGGTGTGCCCATCATGGTATAGCTCTTGCCGGAGCCCGTCTGTCCGTATGCGAAGATGCAGGTATGGTATCCAGCGAAGTTGTGGTCGAGGAACTCCTCGCCGAACGAGCGGTACACATCTTCCTGGTGGGCATAGTGCGGGTCGCTCTCGTCGTGCGACCAGTACGAGCGATCAAAGGTGAACTCCTTGTCCTCGTGGACGCGGCGCCCAGTGCTGTCGCGGATGTTGTCGGGGGCATGCAGCGTCGTCTTCTGCGTCGCGGGGTCCATGCGGATCAGGCACTTGATGCCCCTCTCCTTCTCTGGCGTGAATCAGCATCCGGGCCGCATCCATTGGGGCCTGCGGGCGTACCTCTGGGCACAAAGGCGCGGCATCGCACCACGACCTTGACATTGCCGGGATCGGCGTTGACGGGCGTAGAGGGAGACATGTGGGCATAGGAGACGTCGGACGCGCGCATCGAGGGGGCCGATGCGGTCGTGTGTAGCGGATACATTTCTGGGTCGATTGCGCCGCTTGATAAAGGGTGACGGGATTGCCTGAGATACTTGGACCGGTCAGTGTAGAGCAGGCGCATGGTAGTGTTGAGCGGGCGCACGGGTCGCGCCTGCCATGACTCGAGGGGCATTGTTTGGGCCGTGTCAACACGCCGTTGCCGGGTGCGATAACACGTCACTGCTTGGCGCCCTGCCCTCCGCGCCCTCTCACACGGCGACGCGCCGCGAGGAAGGCGGCGCGAGAGCCTCATCCATGGCGGCTCGACCAAAATGAAGCGCCCGCCGCCATGCCGTGGGCGCAAGCAGCGAGGCCGATCGTCCGCCCGTCTCGACACCATCCACACTGCGCATCCGTTGCTCACTGCTGCGCGCCGCAAGACCCTCTGCCTACGTCATCCACGCTCGACCAGTTACCCGGACTACACAAAAAGCAGCCCAACCCACCGCCAGCAGGGCCTCACTAGCCACGGCATGCCTGGCTGTACACCGCTGCCACCCCCGAAATGAGGCGTGTCAAGGGCTGACGGGCTGCGTGCTACACACGCGGGACCCAGCATACGCCTGCAGCCATGACAGCATCGAGGGAAAAACCAACAAGAGTCAGGGGCGCGCCCCTCCCCTTCGTTCATGCCTCGCCGTTGCATCCGCAGCGTTCGAGCTGGAACTTCCCGCCATGTTCTCAAGCACGGGACTGTCGTTTCACGGTCACGTTCCGAGGCGGTGCAATGGCGTGGGAGCGACTAAAAATTTCGTGGCAGAAACGTGACTGGTCGGACCTGGTCGTCGCTAGAACAGCATCGGAAATTCAAAAGCATCTTCACACCGCACTACCTGAAACGCCAGCGCTGTCCACTGCACAGCCTCGCTGACGCAATCACTCACCGATATGGCTACGGCTGCGGTGCTGAGGCTGCTGGACGGGCATACCCGACAGGCGGCTTTCGACGCCAGCCTCGCCAAGCTCAAAGCCGCACCACAGGGGATCGACACCGACGCCCTCGACATTTGCGTTCGACTATTGCCTACCAACCAAACCGACGGTGGCGCTGCGAGCTCTCTGCAGCATACGCAGCTATGGGCCGTCGTTTTGGGCCGCCTTGCCGACGAATCGTCCACAGACCGTCTCTACACGGTCGCAGAGCTGTGTCTCCACAGCGAAGCGCTTGTGGCTGCTCATCTCAAAACTGGGCTTTACACAGCCCTCTCTCGATCAAGGCACGATCTTCCACGCGAAGACCCGGAAACCCTCGAGCCCGCAAAAGCATACCTTGGGTTTCTGAAATGCTGCTTCTGGGTCCCAGGGGCGCAGAACCATATGGTCGATGCCGAGACCCTTGGTCTCCTATCCAGCTTTGTCAGTGTGGACGGGCTAGATGGGATTGCACATGACACCTTGTCCGCTTTCTTCTCAATGTTGAAAGACCGAAGAGTAGACTCACCCATCGAGCTCAACCGCATCATTGACCAGTCACTGTGGAGCCAGCTCAGCACTCTTGACGTGAAGCGTTTTGCTGCGAGATCAAGCAACATCTACCGGACGTGGTTCCAATGGATCTCGCTCGCGGCCTCTGGTGGTCTCAAGTTCGAATGCGTCAAGGACGAGCAGTACTGGAAGAAGCTGAGGCTCGGTCTCGTCAAAGGCCATGCAGATCAGCGCAAGTACTGCCTCGGCATCATTCGACAGTCTCTCCTCGCTACAACAGACTGCATTGATACCCCGTCGATGCAATACACTGCAAGTCGCACAGACCGAGAAAGCTACGATCTCTACTCGACACTCTTTGAGACGATTGTTCTGCATCGATACACTGGGCAAGTGGAAGATTCTCTCTTGTCCATGACCAGACTACTCGGATCTTCAAATGCACTTCCGTCGAAAGTCACTCCGGCTATGACAATCACCCTACTCACTGCAGCTCTCGATCCATTGATTCAAGAGAGTGTCAGGAAGACGATCGGTCGCTGGTATATGGACTTTGTCACTCAGGTAAGCAGCCATCTTTATGTTATTTTGAGTGGATTTATCCCGTCGAGGAAAGGCTGTGAATTGCGAAACAGCTGTATGGGAGAAGTTTAGCCCCAAGATGCTAATTCATTCCAACAGGGGCGTGGCGACATCAGCGGCCATATCCACTTTCTCTTCGACGGCTTTCTCCCATGGGCAACAGACGGCAGCCTCTTCACATCAACCCTTACCGCCACCCGCACCAAAACCGTTTGCGCACACGGAGAAGCGCTGGCTGCTGTCATTGCACGATTCGCATCCCATACTGAAGATAGTCCATCATTCATACCGTCGAATGACTACAGCATCCAAGAATACGACGTGGACAACCGCGGTGGCCGCGCCATCTTGTTGGGCGTGGTTCGCTTCATCATGAATGCTCGGGGTCGATTATTCCAGCCGGCGATAATGTACCTCTTGAATGGCCTCATACGAGGTCTGACGACGCGACACGAAAATTCGCTGGCGCGTCATGAGCTCGCGTCCTCTGAAGTTGCGGAGATCTTAAGTCTCGCAAGACTTCCGGGCCTTCCAGAAGTAGCGAGCGATCTGCACAGCATTCACTGCCGAAAAATATGCAGCCTTGTTCGGTCTGATTCGGGTTCCGAGATGATACCGACAGAGGAGTCTCTCCGTGATCGTTGTAGGAAGCTAGAGGAACAAGTGGATCAATCCGTGCCAGCGACCCTTTCGAATCGCAATGACAAGAAGCCGCTCTCCCTACCGCTTTTCTTGCAAGACTTACGTGAGTCAAAGCATAGCTGCATTCAAGGCCCTGCTTTTGCGCCGGCCTGCAAAGCCTTGACTGATCTACTTGATCAGGCAGATGTCGCTGCTATCGATCCCGATGAGTTGCATACCGCTTTAGCAGCCCTTTGGGAGGAGGCCGAAATACGCGACTTCATTCGACCATTCGCTGTTCATCTTCCGCCTTTGCTCTTCCACCCGACATGCATCCACATCTGCGTCGCGCAACGCCAAAATGACTCTGAAGCATCCAATGCTGACCTCGCCAATCTTCTTTCCAAAGCCATGTCCCGTCTTGCAAGGTTAGCAAAGGGCAGGTCATATGTACTGGCGGCTCTTGCAAAGGCGCTACGCAAAGCGGCTTTTGCAAACCCATCGATAATTGGTATCCTTCCCTTCGAAGAGTATATTCTGGACTTTATTAATGATCCCGCCTCGATCAGATCCGAGTTCTTGTTCGAGGTCGTGGCTGCTGAAAAGCTGCAGCAATATCTACCGCACCGAACGTACACGTCCTACTATGGATTACGAGAGTGGCATGCCTACACAGCTGTTCTGGACATGTTGCGACGTTTCCCCGAGGGACAGCTGGATGTTGCTAAAAGTATACTGGGCCGCCTGCTCCAGCCTTGGAAAGACCAGCAACCGCCAGTCGCCGTCAAAAGTCCCTGGAAAAAGACGCTGCAGCTACAGGCGATGCTGTTGCTGAGCCATTACTGCATCGTTGAGTCGGATGCAGATGGGTATCTCGACGGACTCACTCATGCCTTGACATTGGAATCATGGCCACGCTATCGTCATCTACTCGAATGGACCACGGCTCGCATCTACCGCCAGTTCCCAGGCAAGTCTTCCAGGATCATAGAGCAGCTCCAGAATTTGGATGAGCATAGCCCCATACATATCGCCAGCCTGGTCAAACTTGGCCTTCTTGTCGCGCCCTATGAGCCTGAGGACTTCACCGCCAAGCTCATGATGCAGCTCAACGCGTATTCGGCCAGTCCCAAAGTCCAGATACGCCATGAAGCCAATTTCGCGTTCCCACTCGTCTTTGATCTTTCAACCCAGAAGGGCTGGAAGAGCATCATCGAGAATCCCGCCCTTATGGCTATGGATGCTTTTATCCGACGTCTGGACAAGTTTAGCGCATCGCCGTGGACGATAAGGACATTAAAGGTCGACATTGAAGCCGACTTCACCATGGTGGGCATTTTCCAGGGACGTTATCTTTCCATTGAAACACCAGAAGATGAGGTGGTCACACACGAAGACTTCGAGGTGCTTGAATGTGATGACCAAGCAGCGCATGTCGCGCGCCCTCCCGCCCTCATACCTTTAGGAACGGGACCAGAAAAAGAGACGACCGTTGACACGCCAGCGAATGCGCCTCTCCCGACCAAGTCGACTGCGGATCAAAGCAGCCAGATCACACTGCAAACCAAAGCCGGCATCGACCTAGACAACCTGCATCCGGCGAGCGGTCCGCCAAGCATGCAAAACCAGCGCCCCGCGTCGGTGATGCTCATCGCATCGCTAATCGACAACCCTACCAACTTGGGAGGGCTTTCACGTATTTCCGAGTCGTTTGGGCTAGAGGCACTATACATTGACGACGTCAAGAAGGTTGCGCACAAGGATTTCAAGGCGACGAGTGTGCGGTCAGAGAAGCACCTTGCTATCAAAGAGCTGAAAGAAGCGGGTGTTCCTGCGTTCCTTCTGGAAGCGAAGAGCCAGGGATACGAAGTTGTCGGCATCGAACAAACGGACCGTAGTGGTATTCTGGGGTATGAAGGTGTCGATGGCGCGTACCTAGGTGACGGGGATGCGATAGAAACGGTTGGCCATCAGGACGTGGGGACGCTGCCCAAGAAGTGCTGCTTAGTGCTGGGAAGCGAGAAAGAAGGCATTTCAGCCGAGGTGCTGGCGGTGATTGACCGCAACGTGGAAATCAAGACTGTGGGCGTCACGCGAAGTCTAAGTAAGTCTCAACCTTGCAGCCGTGTTTGGGTCGTGTTTGAAGCGCATGCTAACCAGTGTGTACAGATGTGCAGACAGCAGGCGGGATTGCCTTGTATGAGTGGTGGAGGGAGTGGGGCGGGTAGCTAGGCCGCAAAGGGACACGTGGGAGGGGTTCGCAAAGACGCTTTTTCGCCAGCGTGTAGTAGTAGCGCTCTTCCACCACGGCCTGAAACTATCTCAACTGCTCTCTGAAAGACGAACCGCCTTTAATCTCCAAACAGCCCTTTCAGATGACGGCCAAACCACACGCTGCCTGTTTCACGCAGGGCTGCATCAGTAGCTGGATCGGCGTCGTGCTACGCGAGCTCATTGCACTTGGTCTTTTCGCAGCCTTGGGATTGCTCACCTCGCAGCCTCGTCATGTTGCGATGCAGCCCCCGGAGCAGGGCACCACTCATCTACTATATTCACAACACCCTCGCCTACCCTTGGTTGCAGCGACAGCAGCAGCTTACTCAGGGAAGCAGCAGGTGGGCTGGGCGGTATGAAACATTGTGTTTCGCGCACGCCAGGAGGCGTATAGTCGCACGCCGTCCACATACATGTCCAAAGGTGAGTTAGGTTTCGTGACAGGTGAAGTTTACGTAGCTGGCCATGGGCGACGCTAAGTATGAGGCGTTCGGTCTGGACGCGAACCGTACCGCTAAGGTCACAACGCGTCCATGCCAATCCATCGCAATGCACGATGCATCGCCAAGGTGCTCTGCATTATCGACAACTATACCACAGCATGTAACGAAGCTGGGCAACGCGCCGGAGCTGCCTTGCTGTTGGACACAGGGCCGCCAAGTCGGGCACCGGCTGAGGCATCCTCCCCCGGTCTCCCCGCCAAGTGTGGTGAAACAGCACTCAAACCCATCCTTTCCCGCGCCAATCCAGCTAGCCCCTACTTGGCCCCAAGATTTCGCACAGAAGCCCAGCCGTCACTCGCTCCAGTACGCCTGGCCGTTTCAATCAAGCAATACGTATCCCCACTTAAGCCTTCAGGCTCAAGGCATCCAAGCTCGTACAAGCATCAGACCGCCGCAAGGTCGAACGCCAAGATGGGGCTGGTACAGTCACTGAAACCCCATCCCAGCACCCTTGGGTGCGAGCGCGGAGATATAATGCGTGCGCTTCTCACATCAGGTCAAAGATGAATGGAACCAGACTACCTCATCAAAATGCCTTTCATGAACACCAAGGGCGCGACTACGCTCGGCCACACGTTCAGGTACCATGGACTTTGAACCAGAGCTGCAGCTGGCCAATGACTAACGCGAGCCAGAAACTTCGACCAAACCATCATTACCATCAAGGTCGGTCGAAAGGACTGCAATGAGTCTTTCAGCTGCCATCGCGAACTCTTGCGGAGATGCTCGACATACTTTAGCACATGCTTGGAGGAGAAGAGCGACTCGCCTTACAGCAGCCCCGCCACTGCGCTGGAGCTAGAGGACACCAACCCAGACGTTTTCGATGCCTTTATGCTCTGGCTTTACACTGGCTTTATTCCGCACCACCTTATCGAGGGCGGCAAGGAAGTCCATCCTCCCACACATGCTGTCCACGTCAATGGAAGCGATAGCACCGCCCCTACCGAGCATGGCGAAAGCGACGACGTGGATACCGCATCATGGGGCATTGCTCTAGAAGATGACACAACTTCAGAAAGCGCTCCAGCAGCCCCTGAAACGACGGCTAGTTCTGAAGCTGCGAGTGCAGAGAAGGTACCAGGAGAGGCCGAGGCTGAAAAGGTTGCGGTAGCGCCACCCCATCGCAACCCAGCAGAAAAGCCCGAGATACCAAAGGAGACGCTGTGCCCATGCTGCTCGCGACCGTACAAATGGAGGGGGTTGGAAGGCTTCTTGGAGCGCCGTTTCGTCTCTCTCTACGTCTTTGCGCACCGATACTCGATTCCCCGATTACGCCGTGCTGTGCTTCTCGCCTGGCAGACCAACGACGAAATTCTGCAAGTCATGCCAGACCACAGCAACGTCATCGCCGCATACGAGAGCCTCCCTCCCGACTCGGCTCTCTGCAGGTATTTCCTCGACATGTACTCCGTGTACTGGAACCCCGATCGTGACGACGAGCGCATGATTTCCTTACGAAGCCAGCTTCCACAGGCGTTCCTATTCGAGCTAGTCACCATGCTAGCTCGAGGCGAGCGCCCCAAGATGGAGAAGGAGTGGTGTGAGTTCCATGAGCACGAGACGGAAGAGGAAAAGAAGTCTTGCCTAGATGATCTAGCCAAAGACCCGGTAGCAAGCAAGGCCCTGCGACGCATCAAGGATAGCAAGGGCTGGAAGGGCCTGGTGCTCAAGAAGGGCAAGCGATGATGACATTTACGACAACTCATTTGCGAGCATGGCAATCGGGAGGCGTAGCATCGGCGTTTGGAGCTGCACACATTGTGCGCATAGCAGTATAATCAATCAACCAATCTTTTCCCCTTTCTCACTCTTTTCGCCATGTCTTGTGTGAGATGCATTTGGCGGTCTCAATAATAGCAGCCGGCACGCGCCGCGACACGGTGATTTTCACCAGGCTGACCGGCCGGCCGCAACGCGGGCGACGAACACGAGACCTCATGACCAAATAGCAACTCAGCTTCAGCCTGGTCAGCACATGCCCTTACGACCATGGCCAACTCTACGCCAACTTTCCATTACTTGGAATGCTGCGCAGCTTTGTGTGCATACCATGTGGCGGACTTGGCGCGATGCCATGTGGTGCAATGAAGATGTCCAGCAGACGACTTGGCATCCCTAGCTGACCTTCAGCTAGAGGCCACAAAAACTCTTCCAAACATATCCACTATTTAATAATGTATAGACGAGGATACCGTGATTTTCTCCAGGGTCGCAGTGGGTAAAAAGGACCAAAAATAGCCATGCGACGGTAACTGACATGGATACAGACTTCTTTCGGTGCGGAAATTTATCATGCATGCTGGTCAGCTTACATACAATCAATGAACTCTATCATTCTTGCGAACCTTGTCTCGTAGGTACCCTCATTGAGCCTAGCCAATGGAAAACTGCAGTTGGAGATCCGTTGTCCTGGTAGCAAATTCCCGCTTCGTGGTTCACGCGGAGCGTCATACAACGGCTTTACTTGGAGTAAAGCTAGTACTTACAGTAAGTAGAGCGGGCAACAATTGGCTTCCTGCTGCTTTCAACGATACTCGGGCACTAGTTCCAAAACCCCCTCCCTCCCCTCTTTACACGCGCTACCGGCGTTGCTGCTCGTATAAGAGGTCATGGCGCATGCTTCTTTGCTGCCTGTTTCTAAAGATATCGCCGTACGTAGCAGAAGCACGTGGGAACGCCATGTATACGAGGAAAGCGATGGATCCCCGCAACAAGTCTGAGGTCAGCTAGACAGCGGCTCCCGTTTGCTCTAGCGCACGAGGCAACCCGGCAGAGTGAAAGTTGGAATGCGGAAAGGCTAGGGTAGCGTTGGAGATGGAATAAGCTGGTATCTGACCATACACACACACATACATACATACACACCGCTCAGCTTACTTGGGCGGGTGTGTATGTATATAGTCTCATGCCCTTCTCAGCTTCTCTTAAGTTGTGCTATCGCTTCTTTACGATCGCTTTGAGTACATACGAATAACTGTTACATCCTTACATACATACATCCTTACATACATACATCCTTACATACATACATACATACATAATTACTTACTTAGCTACACACACACACACAAACGCCTTTTGGCCAAATCTAAACCGGGTATCCACAATGAAGACCTTGATCCTGGCCCTCGCCTCCCTTCTGGCCCTCGCCTCGGCCACGCCTACACCAAATCAACCGTCGCCTCCAGCCACATGCCCCAACTGCAACCCAAATCCCGGCTCGAATTTCTGCGACATCACCACGTCGTGCACCGTCGTGTCGGCTCATCCAGACATCAAGCACGCGCCTTATTATTGTGCCTGCCGCGCGGGTTACCGTATGTGAAATTCTCCTCTTCCTCCTCCTCCTCTTTTTTTTCTGCGCTTCCCATACTACACTACATCACAGTAGACTACACCAGGGCAGCAAAGAAAGAAAGAAAGAAAGAAACGAAGAAGAAGATGCGGAGCTAATATATCAATATAGGTGCCAACGGCTGCGACGCCGGCGACTCGACAATCCAATGGCGGCTGCCGTGGCCCGCGTCCGACCGGGGCCCCAGCCAGGAGGGCCGTGTCTTCGTCAAGCCAGGTGTTGTATGCGACACGCTCTGCAATGACCCGTATGCGGGCGTCAATGCGTGTTCTGAGGTCACTCAGATGGATAAGTGTCTCTAGGGTGTTTGTGGGGTGAGAGAGAGAGAGAGAGAGAGAGAGTGAAGGTGAGAAACGCGATATGGTGCTGATTAGGGATTGAGCGTGTATCCTTGCTTGTGTGTATGTTCCGTGCGAGGAGAGTGTGTAATGTCTGAATTTATAATGATACATGGTATGAGCTGTTGTGGGATACGTGCGTGCTGTGAAGTGTGGTGTTGTGGTGATGCGGAGTGTTTGGCGGGTGATGATGGTGTCGAGGCATGCGTGGGGAGAGGAGGGCGCGCAGTGTCGTGCTCTTGCATGTGATTAGCGTTGGAGACTGACTTGAGCGATTATCTTTCTTGCTTCGGCACAACTTGTACACTGGTATTTCTTACGCGACATCTCATGCAGCGGTGAATGATGTCCTGGCGTTGAGGCACGTCTAGCTGTCTCGTTGTGTCGTTGGAATGCACGGAGCGATACCGAATACGACTAGCATGGCACCAAGACGAGCACAACTGGTGTTCGGCGCTATAAGTAAGTACCGGGATTGGTGAACTACTGCAATGCACGACGAGTACTGTTCGAGTGCGTCGATCGCGCATGGCTTGAAATAAGACTGATCAGAGTAAGAAAGGCTGAAGTGTAGAGCTGGCAATGGCATATAATAGCCGTTTCCAAGTCGTACTTACGTAGAGATTTGGTGGTCGAAGCAATAACTAGGCTCTGTGAACGACACGGCTGTGGTCAACGTCTCAGTCGCACGTCGAGTCGGAACAAAGCAACACCGTAAACACATAGCTGGATATCCTGATCAAAGGAATGTATCTACCAAATCCCAACCCTTGCTGAATTCGTTGCACAGCAGAATGCATCGAGGAAATGCTATACTTAGTGATAGGACGTGCTACTCCAGCCGTCGCGCTATGTTGAAACCAGCTATAGGCTTCCCCTTCACTGCACTATCTGCCTACTACATTACATGGCTATCATGGATTCCTGGCTCATATTGCTACAACGAGATACACCTCTCTCTCTCTCTCTCTCTAGCATCGACTCATTGAAATCATCATTCTATGAGCCCTCCTCCCACCCGTCGCCATCACCCATGGAGTCTGCTCCTAGAAAGCGCATACCCATATCCAAAGTAGCCTCGACACGAACCCGCAAACGACGGCACGTATCCGAGGCCATGATAACACCACTGCAAACGCCATCGCCATCGCCTTCACCACGGCATGCTCAGTGCGTACACACTCCTCACCGGCTACCTTTCATCCCAACCCCATCTCCGGGCCCAACCCCGTTTCCCGCGGCACCCGCCAGCCAAGACGACAGCGAGCTCCTCGACCGCATCCACTCAGGCATCCAGTACACGCACGAGCAGCGCCGCGCGCGCAACCCTGTCGCGCAAACCACGCGCTTCCAAATCAGCACCACGGAGGCTTCTTCGCGCACCGCGCTCTCGCTGCTCCGGCGCCACGCCACGCTCATCGCTGCAGCGCCTGGCTTCGAGCTGTTTGAGCTGGGGATCCCGCGGCCGGACTGGGTCCGCGAAGGCGACTTTCTCGGGCTCCATGATCCGCAGTGGTGGGTTGGCAGGACGGCGGCGGAAATCAAGGCTGGGCCGCTGGCTGACGAGCAGGATGTCAGGAGGGCGCGGGCATATCTCAAGGGCCAGGAGACGAAGAGGGGGAGGAGAAAGGGGTTGACGGGTCGTGAGAAGGAGATTGGGTGGAAGTTGGTGGAGGGGTTGAGGGGGGCGGGAGGAGGGGTCCCAGTTGGAGGCTGATAGCCGTGGCGGGGATGTGGGTGTGGGTGAGGGTGGGAAGGTTTGGGTGGGAAGAGAGTGGGAGTGAGTACGAAGATGATGATTAGGTGTGAGACTAGTGTGTAAGAGTGTAGTCCTACATGTAAGCCAGTTGGAAGAAAGGTGTTGGGGTTATTGAAAATATCGCAGCACATATGGTAGGACATGATTGTTCCAAGCCATTCTAGCTGCATCACTAGAACATATCAGGATCTTCCACTTCGGGCCCAACCATCGTCAGAATCAGCATATAGTTAATGTTCAATCCAACCATTCACAAGAGCAAAGCCAGTCACCCAGTGTCACTGCAGAAGAAGAATATGAGAACATCATCGGTGGATTTGAATATATACATCAAAAGTGCAGCACTGCCGCGAATATAAAAGTCGAAGAAATGGCAAACAAGGGAGTGGCAAAAGGCACAGTCCAACCATTCGTTTTTGTAGTCCAGAAACCTCATTGTTCCTTTTGTCGGTGGCGACATGGGACTCGTGAGTGTCCTTGGAGACGTCAAGAGAAGTCGCATTTAGTTGCGAAGAGAGTTGCGGAAAGCAAGGCGGCCGCGCTTGTTCTTCTTGCCGCCGTTGCAGTTCTCAGCGCTGTGAGCAGCGCCGGCGCCAGCAGTGGACGGCTTGGGGAAGCCGCCACTGGGGAAGCCACCGTTGGGGAAGCCGCCGTTGGGGAAGCCACCGCTGGGGAAGCCGCCGTTGGGGAAGCCA